CGTTCTGAATCATATGTCACAAAAAATGTACCAAGAAATGTGAGAGGAGCTGTACTCTCACCGTGGACTGAAGGAAGGAAATTACCAATCATTTATACATACATCATGAGCATTGCTGGCAATTGCAAATATGCTACTGAAAATTGGGAGATCTTATCTTGCACCTATACTTGTGAACATTGGCACATATATCTTTATGGTGGAAAATTCAATCTCTGCAACAGTCACAAAGTGTTGACTATGTTACTATTCATCAGGATTAGGGCATTGATCTCTGCAGATCTGTAGATGGCAGATCATCTTCATCAGTACAACTTTGAGGTTGGGTATCTCAGAGTTTGGTGCAGCTGAGCAGCCATCATGTTTAGTCATACTATTATCTTGTACAGTATTAGCAATAGAGAGGTTATTGGAAACTATGTGATTTCAGACACAACCGTACCTATTCTTAAAACAGGAGGGTTTAAAGGATGAATTCGCAACAGACAGTATATTGCAAAAATGCCAGTACTTGCATTCTTTGATAACAACTGCTCCAAGACAATGATGCAACCCTTACAGAGTGTTTATTGTGTATTATGTATTATTGTAATGGCTGTATCCAAAAGTGTAGCGCAGGTACAAGGGAAAATTATGTACCCAGGATACCGGTGGTACAACCCACCAGACACCATGGTATGTATAGATGGGACCCCCCTTGCATTTAATAGAGGAAAGAAAAGGGAACTCTTTAATGATCTGGCCACAGCATATGGGGCAAGGGTGACAAATGGTCAATACCTTTGATTTGGCTAATTTGGAAAATAAACTCAGGATCTTGAACCAACAAGTCAAACGAGCCCTAGAAGGACTAAATACAATCAATAAGAGATCACAGGATGCCTACAGAGAATCAGGCTAGCCACTACTTAGTGATCATACTAGGGGGTCACGCCAAGATGATAAAGCAGATCATCCAGGGCAAAATCAGGGATGACGATGAGCAGCAAAACTGCACCCTGTGCAGCAGCTACAGAAACTGGTTGATTGAATAGCTGAGGGAGGATCTCAGACAGGCTAGCCCAGGGAAAGTCCCATCCTGGATCAGTAATGTGTACTGTATGTCACTGACTGTGAACAGCTTGAATATTTGTTCCAGGAGAGAACTCACACTAACATCTCTAGTTGTCAGTTGTGGTGCTCACTCACTAAGGTGTGGTATAATGACAACTGCAAGGACACTTATGGTCAGGCGCTGGGCTTGATGCTAGGGATTCTAAATATCTCTATTGACAAAATTGGGTTGAGGACCCATGAAGTCAAAATATCAGAATTATAAAGAAAAGGTATTTGAATGGGTTACCATGACACCCTTCTATATGCTGTGGAAAGACAGGGGACGTTGATAGGACCACTTTTAAGTAAATACGAACAAGCAGGCCATACCATTGTACCCCTAGCCTGTCATCCATGAATTTGGCCCCTCTCATATCTTGTTGTGGTCTTAATTGCAATCACCTTTATATACCTCAGGATACTGGCAGTTAAGACTGCATGCTGGGAAAGACAAATATCCCAAGAGATTGGCACGCTTACTATGAATAATATTGTTCCAGCACACAGGAATTTAAGGTAGAACTCCCGGGGTGAGCACTATTATCACTTTTACTTGTTCTGATTGCTTAATGTTGTCTATGCACTATAATCCTGTATGGATTGTCGCAAAAGGAGTTTACTTCCTTTCTTGTACATACATCAATATGATAAGCTTGACCAATGTACGTAATGGTTTCCACATGGACATGTAGGCCCCCCTGACAACAAACATAACCAACTTTCATAATTAGGTTTGAACTTTATTCGCGTAAGCTTTTTTCTGGGCAAAATGGGGGGAATGTAGCAGCCTCCTGGGTGCTAAACACAGATTGCCAACTTGGCTATACAGCAAGGGATGCTGGGTACATTGCCCAAGTAAAACCCAGAAATCACAAAACCCACACATCACACACGGTGCAAACATAGCAGCCAGGTGCTAATGACATTCGCATAATGTAAAAGGCAACAGTTAGTCTGCACAGACCCCCCCAACAACTTATCCACTGAACAAAGGACAGCCAGACAGAAAGGCACCCGGTTCTGCTACAGAAAGATGGTAACATGCCATCTAAATGATTAACTCTTGTTACAAACTATGAAGTGTATCTCCCTGAGATAGGAAGAACTGCAGATGTTGGAGTTAGAGACAACCCAGTGTGGAGCTGGAGGAACACAGCGGGCCAGGCAGCATCAGAGGAACAGGAAAGTTGACTTTTCGGGTCAGGACCCTTCTTCAGAAATGGGGAGGTGGGAGGGAGCTGGGAAATAAATAGACAGAGGAGGGGTAGGGCCAGGGAAGGTAGGTGGGATGGTAATAGGTGAGTGCAGGTAGGGAGTGGTGGGGATTGGTCAGTGGAATAGGTGGGACGGATAGGTGGGAGAGAAGATGGACAGGTTATGACAGGTTAAGGAGGTGGGGATGAGAGGGAGGGTCGGACATAGGATAGGGTCGGGATTGGGGAGATTTTAAACCGGTGAATTCCACATTTAAAGCATCAGGCTGTAGGCTCCCGAGGCAGAATATGAGGTGTTGCTCCTCCAGTTTGCGGGTGATGTCATTGTGATACTGGAGGAGGCCCAAGATGGACATTTCACCCAGGGAGTGGGAGGGGGAGTTGAAATGGTTGGCAACCAGAAGGTGTTGTCGTTTGTCATGTACAGAGCGCAGATGCTCTATGAAATGGTCTCCAAGTCGACGCTTGGTCTCACCAATGTAGAGGAGGCCACATCGGCAGCAGCAGATACAGTGGACCAAGTTGACGGATGTACAGGTGAATCCCTGTTGGATATGAAAGGTTTGCTTTGGGCGTTGAATGGAGGTGATGGGGGAGATGTAGGGGTAGGTTTTAGCACTTACTGCAGTTGTAGGCACAGGTACCGGATGTGGTAGGGTTAGTGGGGAGTGTGGAGCAGACGAGGGAGTTGTGGGGAGAGTGGTATCTCCCTGCTTGGTCAGAAATGCAGGAAGTTCCAGAAAACCATCTAAAACATATAAAAACGGAGTTCACCTGCAGACCTCTTTCTTAGAACCACTCTTGGAGTCGTCGGAGGCCTTTTGAAGAGACCAGTATGGCAAGAGGTAGAGACCAGCTGACTATCCAGAGAGAGAGAGGGAGAAAGCAGCTTCACAGACCCAGAGATAGAGCTACAGAGAGCGCAACTGTGTAAATTTATAAGAGATTCGGGAAGTATTGTAACCGTAAGTGGCCAAATAGGATTAGGGATAGTATGTTTAGTACTAAAAATGATTGTAATTTTGTTCCTAATAAAATGGGAAGTTTTGCATTGGTACCAGCTTGTGTTCAGATTGATTTGACTGCTTTAGTATTGTGGGACGCTTGGGCACATTCATTGGTAACATCCTGGTCGGAGCTGCCTGCAACTTGTTTAAAGAGGCACCAGGCAACCCTGCAAATAACCTGCAATCAAATTACTGCTTTGAATGAATCAATAGTGTGATCATAGACAGTCTTGAGAGGTGGTATATCAGAGGGGAAAACATTTGAACAATCCATTCATATCCTTCTTTTCAAATATCGATCTATAGCAGGCACAGTGACTAAAAAGGCGCCAGCCAAATTCATGTCTGCTCAGAACACTTGCATGGTGCTGACCATCCTTCAACCATCAATATTATCTGAAGACAATGTCGATGTGAAAATAGATGATATCAAAAAACAAGATAATGCAAAAGCATACTTAAACAAGTGAACACATGCAAGGGAACCATGATTGGGAATTGGAGATTGGGTGTGTATCACAGGCTAAATCATGAACATAAATTCACATCAAAGTAGATCAAGTGGTTGCTTGGTACCAATGTTTGTCTGTAAGATGACAACACAAATTGGAATGCGAGAAATTTGACAGTGAATAGACCAGGATAATTTTGAGGACTGCATTGTGAGGATACATTCTGGTTCCGATGAGTGACCATATGTTATCAACTGCATAATTGAGCTTATCATGTAGAACCACACCTCAAGTTCCTAAATCTCAGTGCCATGATCAACAACTTTCATATTTCAAAAACTTGAAGAAAAAAGACACTGAATCTTAAGACATGACTAGATGTAGAAATATTTGTTGTTTATGATGACTTGATTTAAGATACAAGGGGTAGCAAGATTTAACATTCAATTTATGGTTTGATTATGTGCATCTGTCGACTCTTTACTGTGTGTTGCTAGTCAAGCCTAGGTGTGATTACTGAGAAACTGAAAGCAATGCACTAAAAATGTATATGCCTCCAGATTGGGAGGTTAGAGGAATTTTATACTCATCTCTGTTTTCTCCACCTACTTTCTACCGTGCATTAAAATGGGATGTTTGGACATTGGGACAAAATACAAATTAATATAAAACATGTCTAGGATATCAAAATTAGAAAATCTTTGTGTTATTGTAACAATAATTGTATATCCTGGAATATTCTCTGCATTAATAACCAATAACACATATGGCACTACATGAGGTACTCTGAGTGAGCCTGATGCAAAGGTTATGCACTCAGTCACAGTCGTGGTGAAATTATTCTACTCAAGTTTATTATGGATGTAAAAAGAGGTCTAACCATGCACAAAACGCAAGTTTACACAAATGTTATTGTATAAGGCATTGAAGGCATTCCCTGCAGATAGCAAGAACTGCAGATGCTGGAGTCAGAGTCAATATAGTGTGGTGCTGGAGGAACACAACAGGTCAGGCACCATCAGAGCTGCAGGAAAGTCGATGTTTCGGGTGAAAACCTTCCCTGCATCCATCTGCCATAAGGGATTTCAAGCCTAATCCCCCTAATTACTATGAAATTAATTTAGTTAACATTAGTTTCACTAGTTGTTCTCTATTTTGTGTTGGAACATTTTTTTTTCTCATAATATTACTGGCCCCTGAGCGTCAAGCATCAATTCAAATTGACAACATACCTTTGATCTCACCAAGTATCTCCCCTGTATTGAGTCCAGCCATCTTCTCTTTCCAGTCCTTTGAGAGAAACTTCTCAACACAAGATGATTCTGTGGAGAAAAAAAATACATATCACATGAAAATAATCAGAACTACTGCTCAGGAAATAACGCTGGTCCTTTCATGGAATTACATTTCATTGGCGTCTGTATTAATGAATATCATGTATATTGTCCTAACATAATCAACATTTATTACCGATTAATTACTAAACAGCAACTCCCCAGATTCCATTGATAATTGCCAAAACCTTTATTTCATTTGGCCACATGTGAATCATAAGTTCAAAGGCCCACAAAGCAAAGCAGCCTTTAGTTTGCACTAAATAGACAATCACATGGCTGTTGATATGAAACAGAACACTTGGTGTAGTAAGTTTAAAGCAAAATGCTTTGACAGTGTAGAGTAGGTTTACTAGAGCTGAAGGACGTCTTCCCATTATTGAAAGCACAAATCAAAAATGTTCCACTCCACAGAACTAACAACCCTCATCTAAATAGGCATACAAACTTTGCTTTTTCTAGCTGTTGTGCTTTGTGGCTTAATCATGGAATGTTTCAAAGTGAAAAATAACATTCATATTATTTGGTTACAAAATATTGTCCTGTGAGGTGTTAGCTGAATCTGTATTATTCTGCAAAATAAATCCCATGGTGGCTATTTTTCTCCACCATTCATCATCAGTTTCTAATTCCTATGCCAAGACAGCTTTCAACCCAGCAAGTTAATTTGCCATTAATTCAATAAGCCCCAACCATTTTTGAAAGTAGAGTGTGTAGAACTTCATCAATATGCCTTTAGAAATTCCAGTAAAGTGCACCTACTCATTCAGTTACCTGCTCAAAGAATTCCAGTGAATTTGTGGGGCATGAAGTATTGCCACTAAATTCATGATGACTATTTCTTATTGCTCCTTTATTCTTTACATGAACATTGATAGCATCTCATAAAATTCTTTCAACCATTTTTCCCATTATGAACGTTAAGTGAACTTGCTTCTAATCTCCCAATTTATCTCTTGCTTTGTTTTATATTGGAAATTTCATTTACTATCCTAAGCTACAGTTTCTACATGCATACCTGCATAGAGATTGCAAAAACATGAACCAGGACCCAATAATTTTCATAATGATTCATCCCTTTGACTCCAGGTGCCCTGTAGGCATGTAATTCAATACTATTGTTATGATAGTAGTAAAAATAGACGATAAATTTTCAACATACAATCTCCAATTTTCAACACGGATTTTTCATGGACTAAACATTTAAAAAAAGGAAAACACTGACATAAGAGGGCCACAGTGATCACCTGAACACCAATTAAGTCAGTTCATGAAACAATCAATGAGCAAGTCTCAGTGTGAACTTAAAATAACATGTCATTAAAATAACTGGAACCAGTCACTTAGATATGTGTCTCCTGACTGATTTACACCTTTTTGGACGTTTCAAATATTGGGATGGAAAACTATGAAGTAAACTGCAAATGAACTGTATTTCAGGGAACCAGTATCTCAAATGAATAGCAAATTTTATAAATGCAAAATACTGCAAATGCCAGAAATCTGAAACAAATGCAGAAAATGCTGGAAAAGTTCAGCTGTTCTGGTAGCATGGGCGGAGAGAGAAACAGAGTTGTCTCAAAACACAATGACTCTTCTTCAGTTCAGAAGACTCAAAACATTAACTCTATTTCTCTCCACACATGCTGCCAGGCCTGCTGAGTTTCTCAGAGATAGTAAGAACTGTCGATGCTGGAGTCAGAGATAATACAATGTGGAGCAGGAGGAGCACAGCAGGCCAGGCAGCATCACAGGAGCAGGAAAGCTGACGTTTCTCGGGTTGGGACCCTTCTTCAGAAACGGGGGAGGGGGAAGGGAGCTCTGAAATAAATAGATAGAGGAGGGATGGAACTGGGGAAGTTGGGTGGGATGGTAAAAGGGGAGTGCAGGTACGGAGTGGTGCTATATCCGCTGCTCCCAATGTGGCTACTGCATCCGCTGCTCCCGATGTGGCCTCCTCTACATCAGTGACACCAAGCAGAGGCTCGGACACTGCTTTGTAGAGCACTTCCGCTCTGTTCGCGACAAACGACAACACCTTCCAGTCGCGAATCACTTCAACTCCCCCTCCCACTCCCTGGATGACATGTCCATCCTGGGCCTCCCCCAGTGTCACATCAACGCCACCTGGAAACTGGAGGAGCAGCACCTCACATTCCGCCTTGGGAGCCTACAACACAACAGTCTCAATGTAGACTTCACCAGCTTTAAAATCTCCCCACCCCCGGCCTCATCCCATGACCAACCCTCTATCTCATCCCCGCCTCCTTGACCTATCCATCTTCTCTCCAACCTATCCGCTCCTCCTACCTCACTGACCAATCCCCACCACTGCCTACATGCACTCACCTATCCCATCTCACCTACCTTCCCCAGCCCAAGCCCTCCTCTCTCTATTTATTTCAGAGCTCCCTTCCTCCTCTCCCATTTCTGAAGAAGGGTCCTGCTGAGTTTCTCCAGCATTTTCTGAGTAGCAAATCTTCATGAATGAGCCTGATATTCAACTATGAATACAATTGCTCCTGACTGTATTGACCTAATATTAGTACATGCATTGACTTCCTCATAGAATAAAGAATGGCAACATCATGTCTTGGCCTACTTTCCAATCTCCTGAGTCCCTTGTCATGCCTCATCTCCAACTTCGAATAAGTGCTTTTTTTTAAATAATTGGTTTTTAGATTTCACTCCTCAGTGAGCTGCAATAATTTTGACATTTTTCTTTTCTTATTGGTAAAGATTTTATTTCTTTAACGAAACTATCCAGACATAAAATTATTTTTTCTTCTGACAATTTGCTTTCTAGTTTAACTTACCCTTTAATCCTCCCTATTTATCTTTCATTGTAGCGATGTGCACAATACTATAGCTCACCATTCATTTGTTGCAGTTGAGGATTTTTATTAATGTAAGAAGAATTAGGGTGCCTTCACCAAAACATTGTACATGTTTGAGTCAAAGGTAACTTGATACCTCCTGAAGATCTGTAGGTAAATTGTGGACCCAGTCCAGTTTTTATCTGTTAAGTTATAAGGTCAATTAAGGTTTGAACAAAATAGTAATTACTATCAGAAAAATAAAACCTCGGTTTATAATGTAGCAGATCTGAATCATTCCTGAAGTAAAAAATTCATTTAATTAATCCAAAGTGTCAGAATTAGAATAGCAATAGAAGTCTGGAGCATTTGAAATATAATGTTGAGAAAGTCAAACTTCTAAGGCATCTGAAGGGTAGGTAAATGAATCTTAAAAATCAGCATTTCATGTATGAGACTTTCTGTTCTTGGTTCATTTTCTCCTTTAAGAGTTTGTCTTTGCACAGCCATCCTATTTCCTCTTTCATTGAAAGCATAAGATTTGGCATGTAGTTTTATGTCATGTGAGCAGGGAAGACACTTTACAGAAAAGTATCAGAGACTATATTTTTATAATAAAAATATTTAGCTCCTCAATTTTGAGAAATAAACACTATCATCCAGGAAGAAGAAAAATAATATTGTTTGGATCATTCTGTCTCTGTCACCATATTGATGCAGTTTGCAGTTTATTCAAAGAAGACGAGTTATCTCAGGCTGACAGCTTTAGAAAGGTGGATCAGAAGACTGTCTGCACTGATAAGCAACACTACAAAGCAAACGTAAAAGCAAGCACTAGGTAAAAGATGACATGAAGTACACACTATTGGTATCCAGCAATGAAAACAATTAACATCTTCTCCTGCTGTAATGAATCAGGCCAGGAATTGCTGGAATGCCGCTTTCTGTCGCAAGGTCTATGATAAAGAGCATGTAGCTAACAATCAAAGCCTGGGCTCTGAAGTCTTCTTCGAAGCTGGGGGTCAGCTTGTTCTCATCAAGTTGAACTTTTTCTTGTGCAGTCTTGCGTATTTTTTTTTGACAGCACAGATCAGTGCTGGAACCCAGACATTGAAAACTAAAGACAGAAGATCAAAGGATGCTTAGCAAGGCTGGTGTGCCTCCCCATTAAAAAATACATGCAATATTGCATAAATAAATTGACTCACTGAGTTTTATCCCTGTGGGGTAGCTCTGGTAGGCAGCCTGGGCCTATAAATCTGGAAGAAGCAATATCTGGGAACAATTGTGCTCTGTATTCGTCCTCTCCCATTTTGATCTGAAAGGCTACAGTGTTCAAAGCAACAGCAACAACCATGTTGTGTAGCAAGAACTAGACTGTTCCAGAAATTAGATTCTTCTTTTGCATCATTTAATTTGCACATTTACGAAAGTAGTCATAAGATCAAAAATATCTCATATTTGCTTTCTACCTCCATTCTCAAAAAAAATAATGAAAGTCTTTCATTTATAAAATGGGGTTAAGAAGAGAGCTCAGATTATTTAAATTACAGCAAGTTAAGTCTCTTCACTAATCAAGAATCTAACATAAAAATATTCTTCACCAGAGTCAGTAGATCTGACATCATTATGACATTTGCCATTGTTAATTACCATCTTTGTCTGCAAAACAACACTCACTGACCCCCAGAATAAATCATCATGAAAAATGTTTTCGGACATTTTCACAGCATAATAATTTTCACAGCTCTCTAAAAATAAGTCTTTAATTTCTTCTATTCTTTCTCTTCAGATGAGTGTCAGGACCTGTATGAGTACCAGGATTAAAGGCCAAAAAGCAAATAAATTGGTCAAATTGATTGCCATGCCTCCTCATATTTTTAAGTATAGATGAGCATCAGCATAAAACTGTCCCTCTCTGTTAAGTTAGCCCACTCTAAGACCCACATTTTGTGCATCAGTTTATGATTTCCTCAAAAATTAAGAGGACTTTGAAGTCCTGCAGATTTTTAGCTTCAAATTGATCATGGTGATTTCCCAAAGTGAAGGTGAAACACCTCAGAGTAAAAGGAGGGATCAAACGCTTGTAATCACTACATAAGGACCAGCAAACAGGATTAATCACCAACATCAAACATGTCATTTCCGGTTGAACCTATACTTGAAACAAGG